TCCGATAATCGGATTGGATTTTCCGGTTTGGCGGCTACCATTCGTTTTTAATGTTTAAGCCCGGTGGGTTTTGTTTCAATCCTCCTTTTCGTTATGTGCTTAATTTGTTCTATGGGCATAAATGTTTACTCACCCTAGATGGTTTACAGGAGTAAAGTGTCTCGATCAAGACCTGTTTCAACCGAGTTGAAGGTCCGTTTCGGAAGATCCCTGTTTTTTCAAGTTAACGATCATGGAGTTTTGATTCATCTGCATTCGGTTGCCAACGAAAGGAAATTTCCAGAGGAAATATTGAAGCTCTTCGGCGATGAAGAGCGGACATTGACGGTGGAGATTTTTCCACAGAAGATGTGTTCTTGTAGGTTCTGGAGATTTCTTTATTTCATTGCCACGTGGGCTGTTTTACAAACACTAAAATATTTAGTTACATACTAACACACAATAAAACCATCAAAAGATGATTAAGAGTCATACACATTGATATATTTCCATTAATCTTCAACGGATATATATTTTATTCTTACTAGAAACCCAGTTTCATCATGAAATGCTAAAAAAATCTCACATAATATAAAAATATATATAGCATAATTTTTGTCAGCTTTATCAATTATTTTTTTAAAACCAAGTTTTATCAATTTCAAACTAATAATTAATTACTCACTTCCCTCCAACACTGAGAAACAGAAAATGTTAGCACTCGAATCCCAATAGAGACCAACCACCATTCCAGCCACAAGCCTCCTTCTTTTAACAAATTCTTCAATCCAAGATTCACGCATAGCGAAATAATTTTCGTGCGGGTACTTCCACAATGTTACCCAGTGGAATGTGTTTGTATCGAGATCCTTTACCGATAATTGAAGATTACATATATGCTGAATTGTGCGATATATGACATCTTGCGGAAAGAGTACCAATATAGAATCTCGGATTTGCTCCATCGGAAATTGGAATATACCTCCGAACCATAATTCATCATCTGTTATGGTTTTCAGGATTTTCCAAGGGAATGGAGTTATGGGTCGGATCTCAATTTCTTGAGAAAGTAGTGAATGATTTAAACCATTTTCTTCTTCGTGTTTTGTCTGAAGGAAAGTGTAGAACAATGTTTTTATCATATTTGAAGTAGTTCGAAAGAAAATGCTTTTGGACTTTTCGTTTTTTCTTATGTTTTGATGTTGATGAAGTTTGTAGATTTGGATTCCCTTTGAAATCCACTAAAGAGAAGTTAAAGTGGTTGTGGATTGGAAGAAATTGATGTGTTATTTATAATAGTGAGAAGATTAGAAACATTTATTGATTTAGGCTATAATTGTTTAAATGTACATTTGTTTGGGATTTCTTATGTGTAAATATATTTTAAGAGAAACTATCTTTTAGTATAAAAATATTTTTTTATTAAAAGATTTACTTTAGCAATCATTGGACTTCAATATTTATATAATATAAATCCTCAAAATTTATAATTTAGAAAAAGGCAAAAAATGGAAAAGGTAAAAAATAAAAAGGAAAAACCAATACAAAGTTTTTGTTTTCTTTTTGACATCACCAATAAAGAGTTTGTATAACTATTAAAGATGAATATTTTTTCTAAAGACATATTTTGTTTTGGTATGTGATGCAGAGAGGTTTTCTTTTTCTTTTTGACATCACTATTTAAGATTAAACT